CACACACACACACACACACACACACACACACACACACAAATAAAATTAAAAAAAAAAAACAACCCATGATACAGAACATGAAAGGGCATATAAGGTAGGCGTGATGAAGCACACTTGTGACCCCAGCACTCTGAGAGGCTAAAGCGTGATGATAACCAGTCTGAGCCCAACCTGGTCAACATAGTGACTTACAAACAAGCCAGCCAGAGCCAGGTATAATGGTGCATGTCTATAATCCCAGCACTCAGGAGTTTGAAGCCAACCTGGGCTACATAATGAGTTCAAGGCCAGCCTTACACAAGACCCTGCCACAAAACAATGGCTCAGTGAAACCCTGAGAATTAAGCATAGTTCTGAGTTTCCTTCACTGAAACCCATGAAATCTTTAAAAATGTACAAATGTAAGATAGGGTCTATTCAATTTCTCCCTAGGCTTCCTGCCAGATTCCCATCCTAGCTGCCTTGCCTAATGTGAATGTTCTGGCATACAAATTTGTAATTGTACTCTGAACAGAAATGCTTACGCAACCAGTAAAAGCTGGGGGAGGGGGTTTGCTTCTGCTGTAGAGGTGTTAAGACCATTGTGGCCTAGAGTATGTGGAGTCCCTCCTGCTCTGCATGGGTGTGGATTTGCAACCAGGGCCTTTCCTCAGTCTGCTGTGGACTGCTACCCAGATGACACAAATCACTGCCCCTGGAAAGCCAGCTTTCCTGCAGATGGATTCCCTCCCAACGAAACACACCCATGTGCTAAGTTGATAGTTATATATTAATTTACTGAATTTTGTGGATTGGAAGCATGAGTTTTCTTATTCCCTCATTCTGCCTGCTAGACTCCTTAGTATGCTAGACAACTCCAGAGTGAATTAACAAGGAGACATCAATGGAGAGGAAAGCTTTATTTGTGTAACAACAAACATGAGTGAAGTAAGAAGAGGTGTGAGAACACCAGATTATGGTGGAAAAGTCTGGGTGGGAGAAGAATGAATTGGTGAGAAAGAGCAGAGGCCTTCTCAGGGCCACAAACACGCACTGCTGGCATCTGGACTCTGCACTCTTCATGCTCCCCTGGGACTTCTTTTTCTTGGCTCACACTCTCCATGTTGGCCCCTTTCCTCATCTCACTGGCCCAAAGTGCTCCTTCCCTCAAAGCTGACAAGCAGTGCTGCTTCATACTCAACATATGCTTGGCAGAAACTACTCAGAAGCTGTTACTTGGAGTTTTTGCAGCTCTTAGTGATTTTGACATACTTGGACGATCAGAAATGGCCACTTCTGCTACCAGGGGACTCTGGCTGTCCTAATATTGGTTCAAGAAGGGCCTGGATTCTTGTCCAGGCTGGGGTCTCTACAAGAATGCTCCTGGGAGTGTAAGGTGCTGCTGCAGGAGGGGATGTCACTTGAATTTTCAGATATGTAGTCTGTGGTAAAAAAAAAAAAAAAAAGGTGGGGAAGGAAACTCAATCCTCTGATTCACTCAGCGGCAGGTCCCTAGACCCCTCCCTAAACAAAGTCTTCACTCCAAGTCCCCTTTTGCTGGCATGCCAGCCTCTGCACCATGGCCGCCCGCCCCCCAGCTCTTAGCCCAGGCCATCCCTTCAGTCCCACCTGTGGCTGAAGCAGAGAATAAACATTCTTCACACTCCCATTTCTTGCTGTTGGGTCTAAGAAAGGAGCAGTCCCTATGGGTTCCCTGGGATCCACAGGTAGCACACAGAATGAGACGCCACCTCCTACAGGAAGACCCAAAGAAGGATGTAGGTACAAACTGTCACTTTGGGATATCTGCTGTAGGCCAGCCTCATCTATGGTGAGGGCTTCCCAGACACTTTTTACTATACATTTTACCCATCACAGATGTGCAGCTTAGAGACATTCAGTGCTGATCCCAGGAGCCTGCTGGCAAGCAGAACCCCTCACAAAGTGGATTTGGAAAGGAATTCACCCTAAGTCTCTTTTCACTGGAAGAAGTGGCCCATCTGGAGAGCAGATCTGTCCACTTGCAAATGGATAAGAGGCTGGTCGAGAATGGAACTTAGCACTGGGCAAGGCAGTGCATGGCTATGATCCCAGTTACTCAGGAGACTAAGATAGGTGCATTGCAAATTTGAGACCAGCCTGGGCAACTTAACAACAACCTATTCCAAAATAGAAGTTTTTTGTTTTGTTTTGTTTCGTTTTTTTAAGGATTGGGGCTGTAGTTTAGTGCAGAACACTTTGCTTAGCATGCACAGGCCTCAGGCTCAGTCCCTACCCAATCCCAAAAGGGAGTTAGCATTATTTCACCCTGAAGTCTGCAAACAAGAGTCAACTTCTGTCTTCTAATAACCGTGTCAAAGTCTAACTCTAGATACTGTGGTGAGCTCTTTCCAGCCAGGAGCTTTCCCTACCCTTCATCCTCAAAGCTGTCTCTGCCTTGTTCATACAAACAGCTGGGGGCATCACAATGCTGATAGCGCTGGTATAACTCTGAGAAAGCCCCGGGCTCCAGTTCCCAGGCAGCATCTCTGCAGTGGGAGAAGAAATAGTGAGTAAGGGACACATAATTGGCTGGGGAAGCCTTTGCTCACCAGGGAGGGACCGAGATAAGCACAGAAGGAGTTACACAGGCTGCCCGGACACTTCCAATAAGTCTGGGTGACAGTGGCCGAGCTGTGGGAGGGGGCTGAAGCAGACTGACTGCAACACGGAGTCTGTGGTTCTGCTCTGGAATTCAGGAACCCAGCCTTCCATACAGTACTTTTTTCAGAAACATGCTTTCTGTTAATTTTTTGTCTTTTCTTTTGGTAAATAGCACTACCCCTGTTCCTTCTTTCTTCACTGTATATCAATCAATACTTCCACTCCTCTCATTTCCCAAACTGTCCTCACGTTCCAACTCCTCTCTTGAAATCGAGGCAACCTACTCTGGTTCAGTTTCTGCTTTATAATTTCCACTACCTGTCCGGGATATGAATTCCCATTCTTAGCATTTCTTGAGGAAATTCTTCTCGATTGTTACACTGGGGACATTTGAAGAAATGCTTTGCTGAGGTGTGGGCATATTTCTGTAAGAGAAATACAGAAAAGCTTTGTTTGTAAAAGATGTTCTGACCACTTTCTTTCCATTCCCACTTTCCACTTGTGCACAGACAAAGGAGTCTGGGTAGGCTAGGATATGGACGGCAAATACAGGTTTTAGGCCTGGCCCAAAATACATTTAAGAGAATTCTCAAGAGTGACTCAGCTGTCATCTTTGACTAGAGGGCTTGGCAGTAAAGGTCAGGTACCTGGATATATACCCTTTTCTTTTATCCCAGTAATGATTATTAAGGGTCCTTGACTCATTTAAGGATGCATTCATTTGCTCTGCCAATTCTGAAGATTTTGCTGAATCTAAATCTTACCATCAGTGAGGTCCTATAGGCCAAGCAAGACCAAAGACTGGTCTTTCTTCTCACTGATCAGAAGCAGCCCTGCATATAGACCTCCAGGACAGAGTATTGAAACTAAGCTATGCTCGAACATTCCCACAGTACCCCAATTCCAGGCTGAAATTGAGGGCAACTGTGGAAGGTCCCCCCAGCAAGAAAGCCCCACCTGAATGCACTTGCGGTGGTAGATGGCTTTACTACAGCAAGGGCTCTGTATATTCTCAACACTTGATTGGGATAAGTCTTCACAGCACAACACACAGCTTTCCTCTTCTACTTTTCCCTGTTGGATGTTCTGGGTTGGGCGGTGTTTTCCACAAAATGATCTGTGGCAGGGTAAACAGACTTGGTTTCCAGCTTGCCACTGCTGCATTCCCAGTGCCTGGCCTACGAGGCACGGTCAGCCATCCAGCCTGTGCCCAGTGAACCGCCACACTCATGAAGAGGAGCAGGCAGAAGTCACATGCCTTCCCCTGGCGGCTCTCCCACTGAACAAGCTCCTGGTACTGTCTCTACCCCCTCCCAGTCCTGAAAGCCCCCTTAGCTCTGAGCAGCTGTCAAAGAACCCTGGCTGTTCATAATTAGGAAGGGACCAGTATGCAAGAAGAAAGCCCCCGTGAAATCTTCAAGACACTGTTTCCCATCACTGAAAGGATTCACTGGTGAATCAAAACAGGCCCGTGAGAACTAGATTCTGATTTCATTACCAGCTAAGTAGGTTGCAAAAGCCCAGCTGACTTTCCCCTTCCTCACTCACTTGTACTCTCCAAAAAATTGCGAAAGGCAACCCCTTCCTCGGCCACAAGGCAGATGGAAATTTCTAGTGCACTGACCCTTCTGGCACTTGATAGCAGCTCCCTTTTTCTTGCACACAAAGCAGATCTGTAAATGAGACCCCACACAGTCTCAGCGCCCCCCAAAAGGCAAACAGACTCCGGAGCACATCTTTTCACGGGATGAAACAACAGCCATTTCCTTTCCTTGATCATCTCAAACACTCCAGGGCACTCTACAGTGGTGCTCGAAGCAGCGCTGAATTCTTTTGTCTTCTCAGGATGTCGCTGTCTTCACTACATCCCAGAAGAAAACTGGGACCTCAGAGAAAGTCTGGGGCTCATGGTTTAGTGGCAGTTTAGTGGCAGAGCACCTGCACAACATGTGTGAGGTCCTGGGTTCAATTCCTAGCACTGAACAAATAAAGGATCAGAATTTTTTGACTTCTAAACCGGAAACTAAAGACTACAAACAGATTCTGAGAGAGGTCTAAGAAAGACCTATCCGGAAGTCTCCGTTTGAGGGGATTCTAACCTTCCTAGAAGCTCGGGCTGCCTCCTTTTTAATGTCTTCAGGCAGGAATCCATGGAAACCTCTGTTAGATTGGCCCCGCTGAGGCAGTTTGCTAGATAGGATCTGGGGAGGCAGCAAAACCAGGCTGTCAGTATTGATAATCAGTAACATAGTACAATGGGGTAAGATGATAGGCCAAGAACTAAGAAATAGAGTTTAGTAGAAAATACATGTATACATTTATAATTTGTTTTACAAAGGTTTTCATGCTATATATTGGGTACTCTAAGCACTTCTTAAGTATTACATTGCTGGAAACCCAATATCCCCCTTCCTATAGGAGAGGCATAACTTGCTCAAGGATAGGTTCAGAGCTCCAGAACCTGTATTTTTATGTACCTTTGTGGTATACTGCCTCCCACTTACTACAGGTTGCTGCTGCTATTGTGGGTTTTACACTTGGGGGAAACACTTCCTCTGTACCAAAACATTTTATGTTTGTCACAGCCCTACAATACAGACATTGTTGTGACCCATACTGAGCAGGGGAGGGGACTGAGGTGCACTGGGCTAAGTGATATGGCTGGGGTCACATGACAAGAGCTGGCGTTCAAATGGGCCCACAGAACCCACACTCTTACCCCTCCTGGTATACTGCCCTTCAGAGGTACAGAGGAAATATAGGAAGGGAAAGAGAATGTTAAAATCTTCTGACTACAATCATTCTGTATTATAGGAGAAAAAGAATCGTGTTTTCTTTTAGTAACTTTAGACTTTTAAAAATGTATTTAGTACAGGGTCTCACTATACAGATCAGACTTGTAGTGATTCTATTTTTGCCTCCCAAGCACTGGTACTACAGGTGAGCACCACCACACCCAGTCTCAGGTGCTGTCTCAGTGCGCCCCAGGGGCAGGGCTGGCCCTAGAAAGACTTGTCTTTGAAAAGTATCTAAAGTCTAAAATGGGAAATCAAGACAAAAGTTAAACTGTTTTATTATACACATTTTGAGAATGTCAGTACCCCACCCCCATCTCAAGATGGGGGAAGGTCCTCAAAATACTGGAGAGGGTGGTGAACTTCTTGTAATAGTTACATAAAATGTGTAATAGGAGCTCAGGTTATCTATTTGAAATCATAGAAAAAGTGCCTCTATTGTGCTAGATGACTTGAGGGCTCTTGGATGACAGCTGTTATATTCCCAATTACAATTAAAACATATAAAGTATATATTTTCACACTGATATCTCATGAGTTCTATTTTTTATACTTCTAAATATTATTCACATTTTTTACAATGAGCATGTTACTGTTATAAATAGAAAAAATAAGTAAACATTAAACAATCTAGGTGTCAATAGGAGTTTGCTTTAATACTTTTTGGAATACACCAAATGCTAATTAGTTGTTTAAAAAAAAAACTACAACTATACATTCTATATGAAAAGATCTGCAAAATAACTAGAGAAAAGAAATAGATAAGATAAAAGGCTAAAAGTGGGCTGGGGAGATAGCTCAGGGGTCAGGGAGATAACTCAGTAGAATAAGCACCTGCTTGGCAAGTACAGGGTCCTGAGTTCAATCCCTA